AATAAATATTTTTTAAAAATAAATTTAAAAATGATTTAGGCTATAAACAATATCAGAATAAAATGTTGCACAATGTTAAAATATATGTGCTTAAAATTTAGGAAGTTTTGTAAAGTTCTTACTGTGTTTTTACGCATCATTTGTAGTACTTCAGTAAAGCAGCCTTTCTAGAAAAAAAATAGGGACGAATAAGTTCCTAAATGTGGAATTATTCATGTATTTATCTGTATATTATCTACATTATATTACAATACAAAATAAGGTAGGGATTTTTCAAACACACATATGAGTATAAGAGACAAAATACAAGTACAACATAATTTTACTAAACTGAAATACAAATATAATGAATATTCATTAGAAGAAAATATTCAGGTGTAAGTAACAGAAATAAATGTTGGTATTAACATTTATAGTATAAGGCCTTTTTGGAAATCTTAGAGCAACTGCCAGGCTTGTTCCTGAGGAGTTAAACATAAATATACATTACAAGCCCCTGAAAGGTGGAGTACCTCTCACATCCCAAAGCTTGACAGGATCTACTAAACCAGGTAAACTTTCGCTATCCTTGGTCATCAACTGTGGTCATCTCTGCTGTCCACGAGTCACCTAATCCAATATCCCATGACTATTGCCTTTCTTCCCAGCATTTAAAAGGATTTCTTTATTATTTTTATGTGTATGTATATGTGCCTGTGTGTATGCATGTGTACCACATGTATGAAGGAGTCCCTGGAGGTCAGAAGAGTGCACTGGATTCCCTAAAACTGGAATTACAGATGGCTGTTAGCTGCCATGTGGATGTTCAGAACTGAACCTGGGTCCTCTGCAAGAGCTGTAGGTGCTCTTAATTGTTAAGCATCTTTCCAGCCCCTCTTCCCAGCATTTTTTATGATTCTCAGTTTCATGGTTAACAACCTTACATCTTTGAGTACTTCACTGAGTATTCTTTCTATTTCTCTTCTTTGCCTGAGACCTGGCTCATTACGCTTCTCCAAAACCCCATATACCTCAGTTGAGGTCAGGAGGTAAAGCAGAAACCTCCACATTACCCTCAATTGCTTCAAATTCCATGATCTCATATGGGGATTCAAAGTTTTCCTCTTTTAAGCAGCGTGCTATCTGACAAATCTAGTGTTTTCAGACATTTGGGTCACTAAATATTCATTTAGTCAAAATTTTGTTTCCTAAGCACATGAGTTTGATGGAAGATAATAAACAAAAGGAGTCCATCAGAAATTATAAACCACAATAATACCATCTAGACAGTGTGGTACCAAGATGAAAAGACTGGCTTCTTTCTTTCCTTTTTTGCTTTGTTTTGAGACAGGGCCTCCTATAGCCCAGGTTGACCTTGAACTCAGTATGTAACCAAGGATGATCCCGAATTCCTTCCTAACAATTCTGTCTGCAACTCCCAAGTCCTGGGATCACAGGTATGTGCCACTATGTAGCTGAAAATGGATTTCTTATACATACCTGAATTACTTCATAAAGATGTACCTCAACACTGCCTGAAAAGAGAGGATGTTTTTCTGAATCTCCAGCTTGCATTAGTTCCAAGAAAATAGTGTTCCGCTCATCATCTGGACGTCTGGGAACCTCAATTTAAAAATATATATATATACATATATATGTATATACATAAAGAAGCATTAAATTTTAACTCCTAATTTCAGACACAATTTCCAAATATATCCATAAACTATATTATGTCATGGTCATAACTAATTATTACTTTTTGGATGTCAGCTTTGTAATTTTTCAAGTTTATCTTTACATAGATCCTAATATAAAAAAATAAAGATCTTGTTTATGTCCAATGTTAACTATGACCTTTTTTAAATTATCTGTTGCCAACACTGTCTTTTTAACTATACATAGAGTCATCCTCAATATTTTACTGAAATTACATATCAAAGGTAGTACAATAGCTCTAATATGAAACCAAATTACCCAGGTAATCCAAATGTAGGCTATCCAAAAATCAAATATTTCAAAATATCTAATATCCTTTACATTCTCTGATATTTAGCTTTTAGATAAAATATATACATCTGCCTGAACTCCCAACTCTGAGCTCTGTGTCACAATATTATTACATAACCATTAACATTTATATACACTTTTCCTGATAAGAAATAAATCCCATGCTTCCCATTCTCAAAGTTATGAGTGTCTTCAGAGTGTTCTTTCCCGTGGTTGATATCGTATGACCATACGTGAGACTTTCTTTTTAGATAGAGTATTGTTCTACAGCCCAGGCTCACCTCAAACTCTGAAACTTCACTGAGTCGTGTTTTTGACTGTCTTTCCCTCAGTAATAGAAAGAAGGTAAGCCAGTTTAGGCCAGCATGGGGATTCGATAGGGATTAGGAGGGTAAGGTCAGTTTGTCGCAATCTGGCATTTAGATGATTAGAGTCAGTCTGTCTTCTAGAAAATTACAAACATTGAATAAAATAGTAAGATTGGGTAGAACAGAAATCAGTAAAAAAAAAAAAAAAAAAAAAAAAAAAAAAAACAACCTACTAAGCCAGGATGGAAATGAAGCAGCATAAATGGGAAGTAACCAGACAGACCTACAAAAACTTCAAATGCTGTTATTTTTTAAAAAACTATGCTTACTCTGTTTAAAGAGCTTTTTAAAATTTTTTATTTATTATTTTTATTTTATGTGTATGTGTGTATTGCCTGTATGTAGGTAAGTGTACCCGTGTCGTGCAATTCCCCACAGAGGTCAGAAGAGCTGTCGGATCCCCCTGGAACTGGAGTTACAGACAGTTGTTAGTTGCCATGTGGGTGCTGGGATTTGAACCCAGGTCTTCTGCAAGAACAACCAGTATTCTTAACCACTGAGCCCTCTCTCTAGCCCCACCCCATTCTTTTAAAGCTGAAAATATATCTATGGCTAGCACATGAAACTGTGAAAATGACTTAGAAAACCTGAATAAAGACTAATAGAATTGCAGAATTGAAAACTAAAGTAATTTAATAAAAACAATAGAATGGATTCAACCACGGGTTAGATGCATTGTAAGAGAATTAGCAAGCTCAAAAATCAAAGACCTATTTATTTGTTCACTATTATGCATGTGAAGCAAATGTTCTACAACTGGGCCATACCTCCCATATCGCCAATAAATTATTGAGAATGTGAGCCAAAAAGAGACAATTATGGAAACTTTGTTTAAAGGTTAAAATACATGGAAGACAGTGTAAGAATATCTAATATGTGTTAATCAAATTCCAGGAAAAAACAATGGATTGAGAAAATGGGCACCAGTTAAAGAAATAATAGCTAAGAAAATTTCAGAACCAATGAACATCAACAATCCAGTTTAAAAAACCAAATAAATCCAAACACAACAGAAACATAGCCAAATAAAATATGTATCAGAGTAAAATTAGAAAAAATAGCACAGAGAGAGAGGACAAACTGTTTTTAAAACCTAAAGACTAACAAGTGAGTGCCCACGCATGATATGGGAAACTAGGAGACAATAGAATACTTCAAAAAATAGCTGCAAACCTAGAGTTCTATGCTCAATGAAAATACGATTCAAGACATTTTTCTGCAATCAAAAACTGAATTTGTTACCAATTGATTCTCATAGGAAGGAAATTTTAAATTAATAATTCAGACAGAAGATAAGTGATCCCAGGAGAATGATCTGAGCTGTAAGAAGGGTTAAAGTGGTTGGTTTAGTTTATGTAAACTAAAGGATAACTAAATTAAATAAAATCAAATTACAGACAAGAGGATTCAAATATAGAACAATAATAATGAAGAAAATAAATGGAATTAAAATTTCAAAGATCCTGGCAATGCAGGGAGGATGGAAGTGTTGTTAAACACTGGATTTGATCAGTATACATATTATAATGTCTATAATAACCATTTTAGAAAAGAGTAATCTTCATGCATGGAAGAGAGGAAAAATAGAATGGTATTTTAAAATACTAATCTCAAGGAAAACAAAAGAGAAGAAAAACCAATGCATAGCTCAGTTGAAACAAAAAAAAATCCTCAACTATATAACTATATTACCATTACATTAACAGAGTAAATGATCTAATTAAAATGCAAAGACTAGGGGCTGGAGAGATGGCTTAGTGGTTAAGAGCACTGGCTGCTCTTGCAGAGGACCTGGGTTCAGTTCCCAGCACCCACATGTGGCTAACAACCATCCATAACCCCAGTTCTAGGGAATCCGACACCCTCTTCTGACCTCCGTGGGCAATGTACAACATGGGTGCACTTACATACATGCAGGTAATACACCCATACACATAAAATAATAATAATACAAAATATTAAAATGCAAAGACTGTCAGGCTGAATTTAGAGAATCCAATTATATTTTGTTTACAAGTAGGGTTTGTGCACTTGCATGTACTGGGGCTCAAACCCAGACCTTGTCAGTGTTAAGCAAACTCTACAACTGAGCTATATCCCCAAGCCCCTGTACACATTCCTTATGGCATTGTCCCCTTCCTTTTATTTCCTCTCTTTTCTCTTCATCAAGTTTTCGCCTGTGTCTTAGTTCTGACTGCTATTACAGAAGTAATCGTGGCCTGGATGGCTCAAACAGAAAATATTTATTTCTAACAGTTCTAGAAGTTAGAAAGTTCAGCAGCAAGATGACACATTTGTTGGGAGTCTTCTTTTTTTACAGACTGACATTTCTGAAGTCTCTTTCACAGAGGTGCTAATTCTAACCATGAGAGTTCCACCTCATGACCTAACACACTTCCCAAAGGCCAACTCCTAATCCCATCACACCAGGGCTTAGGATTTCAACACATGAACTTTAGGCAGGCACAAACATTCTGCCCATAACATTCTTCTTTTCCATGAATTCTAATGTTGTTAAGCTAAATGCATAGATGGAGCACATATATTTACAGAGTTCATGTACAACTGTAAAAATGTACAAATAGCATTTACTACCACTTATTTGTATATTGAAAAAGTTAAATTGATACATTTTTATTATATCCATGTCTTATTATAACAAAAAATTGGGACAGAAAAAAATTCCAGGTTTGGTAGTCCGTATTTGTAATCTTTTTTTGCAGATCCCTGGGGGCTCACTGGCCAGCCAGCCTGGCTTACCTGACAAGCTCCAAGCTAATGACAGATTCAGTATCAAAAAACAAGGTGGTTGACTCCTAAGAAACAATATCCATGGTTGACCTTTGGCCTCCACATGCACATGCACACAGTTGCCCACATATTTGCATATGCATCTTTACACACACACACACACACACACACACACACACACACACACACCCTGAAGGCAGGACTGTAAGGATGATACCTCAACATAATAAAGGCTACATACAAGCCAATGGCCAACAATATATTAAGTGGGAAAACACTGAGAGATTTTCCTCTAAAATCAGGGTGGCAGAAGGGTGCCAACTGCCTCCACTCTTATTCAGTATAGTGTTTCAGATCTTTAAAAAGGCAGTAAGGCAAGAGGATAAACAAAAAGGAAACAAATAGTAAAGGAAGAAATCAAATCATTTATTTTTAGATTATTATAATCTCACAGTAAAAAACTCAAGATGCTACCAGAAAACTCCTAGATTTGATAAACACTTTCAGCAAAGTACCAGGACATAAAATCAACACACAAAATCCAGCAGTTTTGCTATACAGTAATAATCACCTTACCACAAAAGAAATCCAATTATAATAGCCTCAAAAAAAGAAAGAAAAAGAAAAAGTATACATACAAAAACCACCTAGGCATAAACTTAACGAAAGCTTGCAGTGGCTTTTTTCGATGAAAATTATAAATCATGGAGAAAAGAAATTGAAGATGACACTAGAAGATGAAAAGACATCACATGTTCACAGATCAGCAAAATCAGTGTTGTTAAAATGACTTGGCATGGTGGTACAAGCTTGTGATCTCAGAACTCAGAAGTCAGAGGCAGGAGAATCACCACAAATTTAAGACCAGCCTGGTCTATACATTGAGTTCTAGGCCAGCTAAGAGTATATAGCAAGACCTTGTCTCAACAAAGATTTTTTTAAAAACAAAAACCAAAAAACTGTGTTACTGAACTCAATGCAATCCCCAAGAAAATTTCAGTAGCATCTTTTACAGAAACAGGAAAAAACTCTTAATATGGAAGTGCAAAAGACCCCAAGGCAATCCTAAGCAGAAAGGGCAATGTTGGAGGTACCATAGTATTGGATTTCAAACTATACTAAAGAGCTGTAGTAACCAAAACAGCATGGTACTAGAACAAAAACAGACACAGCCAATGAAATAGGACCTAGGGCCCACACAGTTACAGCCACTTAACTTTCTACAACTGTGCCAAAACATATACTGGAGAAAGGACAGCCTGTTCAGCAAACAACGCTGGAAAAACTGAATAATCATATGTAAAAGAATGATCTATATCCCTATTTCTCATTGTGAATAAAAATCTATTCAAAATGGATGAAAGGTCTTAGTGTAAGACCTGAAACTTTTAAAAAGATTTATTTTTTTAAACTTTATGTATATAAATATTCCATGTGTGTGCTTGGTACCTTCAGTGGCCAGAAGAGAGCATTAGATCCCTTGGAACTGGAGTTACAGCAGGCTGTGAGCTATCATGCAGGTCCTGGAAACTAAACCCAGGTCCTCTGCAAGAACAGTAAGTGCTCTTAACCACTGAACCACATCTCCAGATCCAAAGACCTGAAAGTTTTGAGAGAACTGGAGAAAAATACTTCAAGATATATACACAGACAATGACTTTCTAATTGGAACTCCAGTAGCTCAGGAAATAACAAGAAGAACTGGCAAATGGGATTGCAACAAACTAAAAAGCTTCACGAAAGAAACAACAGTGGTAAACGATAGTCTACAGAGTTAGAGAAAATCTTTGCCAGCTATTCGTATGACATGAGATTAATATTCAGAATATGTAAGGAACTCAGAAAATTAAACACTAACAGATTAAGTAATCCAATCAGAAAATGGGCAAATGAACTGAACAGATGAATTTCAAGTGAGTAAGTTAAAATAGCAAAAAAGTACATGAAAAAATGTTCAACATCTTTAGTCATCAGGATAATGCAAATCTAAACTACACAGATTCAATCTCACCCCAATCAGAATAGATATCATCAAGAAAACAAAAAAGGAATTCTTGGGAGGGTACAGAAAAGTAAGTTATACATTGTTGGTGGGAATGGAAATCAGTAAAAAGTTCCCCAAAAACCCGAAAATAAAACTATCACATGATCCAGTTACAGCACTTCTAGCTACATACCTAAAGAACCAAATTCAGCACACAGTACAGTTAACCTGCATGCCCATGTTTACTGTGGCCCTATTTACAACAGATATGCTATGGAATCTTCCTAGGTACCCATGAACAGTTGAATGGGCAATGAGAAGGTGGTATGTATAATACAGTTGAATTTTATTAAGTCATAAGGAATAAAATTATGTCATTTCCAGGAAAAAGATAGAATGGGCGATCACTATGTTATGCAAAATAAGACAGACTTACAAAGACTTGTATTACATGTACACTCATATCTGGAATTTAGAGGAAAGGGACATGAAAGTATAATGGGAACTAGTAGTGATTTAGAAGGAGGAAAGAGGGAGGGTAAGATGAGAGAGGATAACAGAGAAGTTAACACACTCAGAGTATGCTCTATGCATGTCATAGGAAGGGACTAGAGAGATATCTCAGGGTTAAGAGCACTGGCTGCTCTTGATGAGGACATGGTTTTGGTTCCCAGCACCCACATGATGGCTAATAACTGTCTTTAACTCCAGTTCCAGGGGATCCAACACATTTTTCTGGCCTTCATGGGCACTACATGCACATGGTGTACTTATGTACATGCAGGCAATACACTCATACACATAAATATAAAAATAAAAAATAGAAAAGAGATTTTAAATGTCATAAATCCATTCCTTTATACAATTAATATGTTAATAAAAGAAATTAATTTAAAGCTATATCTTGCTTGTTGCTTTTTTAAAAACGTGTATTTAGTGCACATGTGGTCTTTTAATTGCTGAGCCATCATCTCTCCAGCCTAGTGCCACTATTTTAAAAGAAAGCTTTGAGAAACTTTTGAGTTTCTAAGAAGCTTACCTGTAAACAGAAGCATATCAAGTTCTACTTGAGAGGCAATTATGAAGTGAGGTTTTAAGTGAGATTACATACATTCCCAGCTCCATTACATCCTAGCTCTATGACCTCAACAAAGTTCGTTAATCACACAGCACCTCAGTTTATTCAACTATAACACAAAGATGATAATAAGAGAATGTGTGTATGAGCCTGACAATCAGACAATCTTTGGGGATGTTATAAAGACTGTGCGATCTATGTGCAAACAATTAGAGGAGTTTGTACCAGGGGAATACATAAGAGGAGAGAAGGGAGAAGAGATTTAAAACAAAAGAAAGGGTGGAAAGGGCAGGTGGAAGAAGAGCAAGGGAGAGAAAAACCTCCACGATAAACACTCAGAACCACAAACAACGTGTCAGGAAAGAAGTTCATTGAGACTAGGCACTTCAGTGTGCTGCTTCTTAATAAACCACCACTACAGGCCACCACATAGAAGTAAAACACTGTAAAATTCCAAGTGAAAAAGCATAATTTTGGCTCTTTTTTACCCCTTTTTTGTTGTTTTTTGAGACAGGGTCTCCCTGTAGCCCCAGGTGGCCTGGAACTCACTATGTAGACCAGGCTGGCCTCAATCGGACAGCAATCCACCTGCTTCTGCCTCCCAAGTGCAGAGACGCCCCTCTCCACCTTGAGTGCTGATCTCAGAGAGACTGTTTCTATGAAAGCATCTCCGGTGGATGCCTATGACTCTAATAAAATGGCATGATCTCCTCATTCACCTTGCTTTGACTCCTGAAAGGAAGCATTGGGCCCCCACCCTGGCAGTCATTCCTTTCTGAGGCCTTCCACTCCCTAAATCCTGAGGTAGTTGGGAAGCACAATGGTTGCCATTTCCATGGAGAGAATGCATATTGATTCTTTTCCCTTCTCCACTGAACACAGAATTACTTCAGAGCACTGCGGCTCCTGGTGGTGTTACCTTTTTAAAGGAATGTAATGGCTACTGTATTCTCAGCAAACCAATGAGGAGAGAGATTCCAGTTCAGGATTCACAGAAGGCTCCTGAATCCTGTTCTGTATACTATATTATCACAATGAATTGATGGGTTTGGGGGTAGTATTTGGATTCTGGGTTGGGGAACAAAGTCTTTCACCAGTATATAGAGATTTGATTGTTCAAATGAAGCTGCTGCATTAACACCTCTGCCTATAGTTTAAGGTCCTTGGCCAGCTCTGTTCGATATAATATGTTGATTGCCTTTGGATCCCTTTCCGGAAGCCAGCTGTCATGTTGATAGGGGAACTTATACCACAACCAGATTCCTGAGTCCCTAGGCTGCCCAGGTAAGGTGGAAGGTGATTTCAGGGTCTCAGGTGAGGGTACTCTGTGTGGTGGAGGCAGGTGCACGGGCTGGAAAGATGGGGTACTGGAGGTGTAGGTTTGAAACAGTGGAAATGAAAGTTCCAGAGAGGTAGTTCATGAGGAAGTCAGAGGGCCTAGGACCAGAGCAGTGGGTGTGAAGGAGTCAGGTTACCTGGAAAGGAGGCAAGCCACAAATGATGCAGCCTACTTCTGTTACTGGACATGAACTGCACACAGTCCCCTCGCTGACTGAGCCTTTTAAAATGAGAAGCTGTAGGTTTTATATTGAGGGGAGACATCATCCAGGCACAGTGTTCGTTTTTTTTTTTTTTTAATAGCTTTAAAAAAATAAGAAGGTCACTCACACCCAGTATGTGGTTCTCCTGAAAGGTCATCTCTCCCACTGGAGTTGATGACTTTCTAAACATGAGTAAAATAGGTGAATAATACATGTAAGGCTTTCTTGGCATCTGCATTCTTTACACAGCTCAGTGGCTTTGGAACACCCAAGAAAATGATCAAGATTATTTTAGGGACTATTTTACTGGGGTTTTAAGAATATAAGCCTTGTCGGGCATGGTGGCACACACCTGTAGTCCCAGCATTTGGGAGGCAGAGGCAGACGGATCTCTGTGAGTTCAAGGCCAGCCTGGTCTACATAGTGAGTTCCAGGACAGCTGGGGCCACAGGGAGACCCTGCTTCAAAAAGACCGAAAAAAAAGAATATGAATCTTTTGGGTTTTTTTTTTCTTTCCTTCTATCAGGAGACTGTGGAAATGTGTGCGCTTGTGAAGTGTTTTGTTGTAGATTAGTGATCCTTAAGGGAAACTTAGACTATAGGCAAAAGTACAAGCCCAGTGCAGGTTTTGTTCCTGTCCACTGTCAGGGAAATAAAGTTCTACACAGTAAGCACACAGCCTCCCTGATTTTATGATGCCTTTCTTAGGGTCTTAATTAGCCCTTAATTTTGTTTAAATCTTTTTTCTCCTTCCTCTTGAAAAAGAAGTTTCCAAATATAAGTTTATTACAGCTTCTATCGCTAAAAACGTTGTTCCTTTTTTACTATGGGCAATTCACACAAGGCAAAAACATGGAATAGTTGGTTTTAGTGTGTTGTTAACTTTGCTATATATCAAAGTAATTTTTACAAGTTTTCATCTTAAACCTCAAATCATGTGCTTATTCATTTTTCTGTTTATTTATGAACTAACCGTGATTCTTTTATTAATAAAAAGCTAATGGGAAAGGAGTCTTCATGAATCTGGTGACTATGTTTACATTTAATTTCCCTGCAGTGTATGAAGTATTGTAGCAGAGTATTAAAATACATAACATTTCATTAATGAAGCTATCCTCTGAAAGGAGCACATTTTTGGGTGTCATCATTTTGATGTGAAACCTGTAAATGTGAGTGATACACTGTTTATTGCACTTGAGTGTTCAGAAGACCTGCCTAGCTGCCTTTCTGCCCATGCATATTGTATAGTCTACGATTTTCTTAAAATGATATTAAAAGAAGAGTCCATGGAGAGAAACCTTAGTGGATGCTGTCTCCCTACTTGTATTTACGGGTGTTAGCTCAACTGCTTTGCTAGGTGCTAAGCCACATTATCAGTCAGTATGTTTGTAAACTGTCTGGAACTAAAAATCAGGAATAAAACTATTTTCTTATATTAAAAAAAGATAGCCAGACATGGTGGCACACACCTTTAATCCCAGCACTTGGGAGGCAGAGGCAGGCGGATCTCTGTGAGTTCGAGGCCAGCCTGGTCTACAGAGCGAGTTCTGGGCAGCTGGAGCTACAGGGAGACCCTGTCTAAAAAAGAAAAAAAAAAAAAAAAAAGATATAAGTAGTCAAAATATCTGAAATTATAAAGAGATGCTATTACTCTAGAAGAGAATTTTAACATTACCTGTACAGAAAAATACTTCACTTCATCAAATTTAATTACAAAGTTCTTTTCATTCTTTTCATTGCTAGTAGATTTCAAGACATGAATTTTTGTTCGCTTCACAATGTGGTTTATAGAGATACGAATGAACAAATTAGTATACTGCTGTAAAATGACTGGAAATAGACTATTTAGGAAACAAGTTTTGTTGCAATTGATCAAATAACACATTATAAAATCATTGTTTAATACAATGCAAGTCAAAACATAAAAATCAACCTAGTTGGTATAAAAGGTAACTGTAGAGTATATTAAACAACAGAAAAAGTCTCTCAAAATATTTTTGCTTGCTGTTGCTAGACACAACGTAAGTAGGAATAGAAGCTTTATTCTTTGGTTCACTTAACATGTTTGAATTCTCACATTCCCATCCTAATTCCTTTGCAAATTTTTCAATACTTTAAATTGAGTAAGTATATACAATATACAGTTGAAATTATTTTCTATGCACAATTATGTAGAAATCAAAAAAAATCAACTGATTTAATTTTAAGACAAAATTTATAGCATTCTATTCTAAAATTCACTTCACAATATACTTTATTTCACTGTGTTGATCTTCCTTGCCATCTTTCATACTCCATACATTGAAAGAATTTTGTTTCTAAGACTTAATTATCTTAAAATGCATAGAATTTTCCCCCTTTATATAAAGGAGAAATACCATAATAAGACTGGATTAAAAGCAAGCATAGAGTGATGTGGTAGTGCAGAGCTATAATTCCAGGAGTTGGGAGGCTGAGGCAAGAGGATTGAGAATTCAAAGCCAGCCTGAACTATATAGCAAGACCTTGTCTCAAAGGCACAAAACAACATATGTGGTAATTGAGGTAAATTACAGATGGCCAAAAATCTTTTTAATTTCCATACCAAAAAGTGGAGTTTATTTTTCCTGTCCTTGAAGCTGAGTTGGCCATGTGATCATTTTAATCCATAAATACAATGAATACAACTAAAAATGACATTAAGATGGATGAGAAAGTCATTCACTAGAGTTTAAAATATAAGAAAACATGAAAAACTATTGTGAGCTAGATATAAAAATATTTGAACATTATATTTTAAAAATAATTACTACAGGAGAAGGATAGGATGAAACTACATGAAAAGAATGAATTCTAACAATTCCAGTACCCCAGCTTAGTCCAGCCTTCCAAGCACCCACACTAAATGGGCCATTCCAGACACCTCAACCCTTCTGAACTGCCAAGCTCCAGCCCAAGTTAAGACACTCTGAAGTACAAATATCACCTAGTGGATGCATAGAGTACTTGATAGTAAAACAGTATTTTAAGCCACGACATTTTGGAGAGGTTAGTAACATAGCAAATAAATAAATGAAACAGCAAGATGTGGTGATACTATGATTTTTAAACCAAAAGGATACACCTTCGAGAAAATTGTCTGCAACTCTTTATATGAACAGCCAGGCAGCCAACCTACAATAATCCAAACAAAACACCGATGGTAAATGCACTTCTTAAAAAGTTAATTTCCTTCTACTTTATACTGAACTACATTTAAATTTTTAGAATATACTTTTTGTTGTTTTTCTCATTAAAAATATTGTTTCTAGCCAGGCGTGGTGGCACATGCCTTTAATTCCAGCACTCAGGAGGCAGAGTCAGGCAGATCTCTGTGAGTTCAAGGCCAGCCTGGTCTGCATAGTGAGTTCCAGGACAGCTGGGGCTACAGGGAGACCCTGTCTCAAAAAGACCAAAAAAAAAAAAATGTTTCTTAGCGTTGGAGAGATAGTTCAGTGGGATTAGGAGCACTTGTTGCTTTTGCAGAGGATTGGGGTTCAGTTTCCAGTAACCGCATCAAGCAGCTCCCTATCACTTACAACTCTAGTTGCTGGGGATCTGATATCTTCATCTGGCCTCCATGGATACCAGACACACATGGGGTGCACATATTCAGGCACTCACATATACACAAAAAATAAAAATAAATAAATCTTTTTAAAAATGTTTCCTTTTCTTTAAAAATTTTTATTAAGAGTATTTGTGTATATGAGTGTCGGTGTGAACACGCCATGGCACACACATAGAGTTCAGGGGACAACTCTGCAGGAGTCAGCTCTCTCCTTCTACCATGTGTCTCCCAGGGTTTGAACTTAATAAGTCATCAGACTTGTTGGCAAGTGCCTTTACCCACTGAGCTACCTCATTGGCCTAAATTTTTTTTCTTTTAAGGATGCGTGAGAAAGCCATGTGGAAACCTACTACTTGTAAGCTAATTAAAAAACAAATTTTAAAAGAGAAAAAGAAAGTTTGAAGGTACCTGCATGGATGGATAATGCTGCTCCCAGAAGTCATGGGTTATTAAACAAAGATCCCATTGCCAAGTGTGGGATTCCAGCTGTGTGGCTAGTGTTAATTGTCAACTTGGCAGGATCTACAATCACCTGTTATACTGGCCTCTGGGCATGCTTGTGAGGGATTATCCTGATTAGGTTAACTGAGGAGAGAAGACCCATTTTAACTATAGAGGACCAGGCCCTGAGCAACATAACCAGCCTCAGTCACCTTGACTTCCCCACCACAATAAACTGTACTCGAACTGTCAGCCACAATAAGCCCTTTCTCTCTTAAGTTGATTTTGTCAGGACATTTTATCACAGCAACAAAAAACTAAGACAGCTCTTTATGAGTTGTTGGTCAGGGGAGGTCTCAAGTGCTGTCAAACCTGAATATCTTAGTTTGTTTTACCTGAGTTTGGAAGAGTGAATTGACTCTCACAAGTTGTCCTTTGACCTTTACGTGCATGCACACACACACACACACACACACACACACACACACGTACGTGCGCAAACAATAATAAATGCAATTTTAAAAAGAAGATGGGGACTAGAGAGGTGGCACAGTGGTTAAGAACACTGACTGTCTTGCCAAAGATCCGTGTTTGAATCCCAGCACCCACATGGCAGCTAATAACCATCGGTAACTCCAGTTCCAGGGGATCTGACACCCTCTCTGTCCTCCATGGGCATTGCACAATACGGGTGCACTTACATACATGCAGGCAATACACACATACACATAAAATGGTGCACACCTGTAGTCCCAGCACTTGGGAGGCAGAGGCAGGCAGATCTCTGTAAGTTCAAGGACAGCCTGGTCTACATAGTGAGTTCCAGGAGAGCTGGGGCTACAGGGAGACCCTGCTTCAAAAAGACAAAATAATAATAATAATAATAATAATAATAATAAATAAAAATTTTTAAAGAGAATAAAGATGAAGAAAGATAAGTAGAAAATTATTGTAATATTTGATGGTTCCAAATGTGCACAGAGCCCCCTGTCCTACCCTCTGAAACATCCAAATTAGAAAAACAAAACTTTTTATTGTTTTCACCTTAAATATTAGGTCCTACCTTTGTGTGTGTGTGTGTGTATGGGGGGGGGGACTATATCTGCTCTTATTTCTGAGGGCTTTAAGACATAAAAAAGTGGTGAGTGATCAATTTTTAAACCATGGGTCAATCCAGCAATGACAATAAATACAAGCACTTGATGACCTCAGCAAAATACTGGTTCCCAGGCCCTCCCTTCCAACACTCTAAATTAGATCTTAGGTGTCATCTAAAAGCAACGTCTTAAAATTATTCTAGGTGATTCTGATGCAAGTGGATTTGGGAATCCTTAGTATAGAAAACATTATTTCTGTAAATTTGTGTTCCATAATTCCAATGAATATTTCAATGGTTATATGACTCATAAAAATAAAAAATTTGGGCTGTAGAGTTGGCTCAGTGGTTAAGAGCACTGGTTGCTCTTGCAGAGGACCCGAGTTTGATTTCCAGCACCCACATGGCAGCTAACAACCTGACACTCTCTTCTAACCTCCATAGGCACTGCATGACACAGGTGCACTTACACACATGCAGGCAATACATTTATACACATAAAATGAAACAATAATAAAAATTCACGAATATGTTTATCATAGAGGACCATTTTCTTCACATAATTTTCAATTACCAAATGATAAACATCAGCTTTGCTTCATATTACACTAGAAATAATCTATGCAGGTTTGTTGAAAGTTACTCATACGTACCACATCTCCAAATGGTATCAAAGCTGGTGTCTCCTGTGTTACTACCATTTCTTCACTCTGAGACCCTCGCAGAGTTTTTCTCAGAATCTATAATGTACATAAACCAACTTAACACTTTAGAAGAAAAAGAAGACCATAACCAGATAAAAAATGTTAATTCAATTCAATATGTTAATAGATGAGTGTCCAGTAAAGATCTGGTGCTCCAGGCAGTGGGATATAAATATGAGAAAGAAACTCATTTCTGTCTTCAATAGTTTATCAGTAAGTAAGCAAAGAAACAACCATGAACTCAGATATGAAATTAGCAAGGAAACTGGGAAAGAGAGCAGTGCAGACCAGTATGGCCTGTGTATGATCAGTACGAACAATGAGCTATTCAGTTTGTTGATGGATTGAACATACAATGGGATATATTGAAAAGTTGATAGGAGGACCCCATCCAATTGCCCCCAAGGTGAGAGTCACCTGAACCTGAACCTCTATACGCAAATATAAATACATCCAAATGAGGAACAAAAATGAAACTACATAGGACACATTCCTCCAACATTATTAAAGGTTATTACAACTCTTAGCTTTCTATAAGGGCAAAAATAAAAATTTCATCAGTGCTCTTCCTGGAACTTCTGCCACAAGCCTATGGGTAGGGATGAAGAGAAGAAAATCTGTAAGATCATCTGAAGAGAAAATTCAACACTAAGTACAAAAATTCTACTACAACATGGTACAGTTCTGGCTATAGAGAACAGACCTGAAGGACCAGATATGGCTTTCTTAGGGGTCCTGCTTCTGGGGTAAAGAAGACAGAGATGAAGAGGTATTCCTTGATTACATGGCAGTAAGAAAAAAGAAGGGCATTATAGGGGAAATTAAGGATGTCAGAACAACAACAAGAACCACAAGTCCTGTTTACCTTATCCTTTCACTTCCTATCAATTACAAGTTCTGTGCACAGAGCCCCTGTCCTACCCTCTGAAACATCCAATATGTTGAAAAAAGAGGACACACTTGAATCAGACATGAGAGGTGATCAAGAAGAAGGAAAATGAGACCACCTGCATTAAAAGCTATTACAGGAAGAAAATGGAGAGAAATGTTTGACTGGTAAAAATTCTTCTCCCCTAAATAATTACAAAAGGGAAGTAATTATGACACAGATATCAAAGTGAACTAAACATCTTCAAATATACATTTGAATATTTTTTAAAGCCTACAATAGCAAATTTAGTAATGGGCCAAAAAGAAAAAAATAAATGAGTGTTAATGAACTCAAAAACAAATTTTTTAAATATTTTATTTATTATTTTTCTTTTATGTGTATTCATGTACTGCCTGCATGCACCTGTGTTGTGCAATGCCCGCAGAGGACAGAGGAGGCTGTCAGATCCCCTGAAATTGGAGTTAAGAACAGTTGTTAACTGTCATGTGGGTGCTGGGATTCGAACCCAGGTCTTCTGCAAGAACAGTCAATGTTCTTAACCACTGAGCCATCTCTCCAGCCCCAAAAACAATTTTTTAAAAAGACAAATCTGTCTCAAAAATAGAATTACAAGGTATCCAAGGTAGAATGGATTCAAATGAAATTTAATAAGGGGCAATGAAAAAGACAGGAAGCCAGTAAAGAGAATGAAAATGAAATAGAGAAATTGGAACTGGAGAGATGGCTCAGTGGTTAAGAGCACTGGCTGTTCTTGCAGAGGACCGGGCTTCAATTTCCAGCACACACATGGCAGCTAACAACCATCCGAATCTCCAGTTCTAGGGGATCTGATGCCCTCTTTTGATCTCTGCAGGCATTGCACTACATGGGTGCACTGAGACACATGCAGGCAATACACTCATACACATAAAAGAAAAAGAAATAGAGAAATAAATATAGAGGGTTAGAACAAAGTCAGTGAACTGGAAGGGAAGCAAATAAGAAATCCTTGAAAAAGGAAAAAAAAAACCCAAAGCATTGGGGAATGCTAATATTAAAATTATAGTCCAAGAAAATTCTAGGCAATAAGAGAAAATCTACTTGTTGATGGGACTTACTGTGTATCTGGAAAATTGACTCATAATGATCTACCCCAAGATATATCCTAGAAAAATGATCAGACTCTATAAAGACAGTCTGTGCAGCTTAAAAATCACTGAATTGCAAGCCAGGCATGGTGGCACACATCTTTAATCTCAGCAGTCAGGAGGCAGAGGCAGGGAGATCTCTGTGGGTTGATGGTCAACATAGCAAGTTCCAGAGCAGCCAGGGCTACACAGTGAGACCCCGCCTGTCTAAAAAAACAAACAACAACAAAAAAACCCAATTTTTAAATTGTTTATGGCAATAAACAATGAAACTAGCACAGATTCTCAGAGTAATATACAGACCAATGCAATGATAGAATGTCGCGAGCCGGGACTCTGTCCAGCAGAGTCCAGGAAAGACGACACAGACACCAAGGTGAGGTTCAAGCTTCTGTTTCTCTTTCTCCTTTATTCTCTTGTATTATCTCTCATGTTCTCTTCACTATGATGCTGGCTCACTATGATGCTGGTTCCTTATGATGCTGTGTCCTCACTATTACACACTTCAGCTCTTTATATAGCGTTTCCAACAGCCCTCCCCCCAGCCGGTATCAATCAGGGCTCACACACGTGCAGCGGCCAGGCAGAGTGTAGCTCATAGGCATGTAGCAAGATCACCAGGCTGGCCTCACCTGTTTGGCCTCTCCATACTTTGGAGTAAGCAAGCGGGAATCACGAGCCTTGGCAATCAGCCAAGAGTTGGAGTAAACAGCACGAGGTTTGGCAGCCAGCCAGGGCGCCATCTGGCTGACTCAGCTGTGCTCGCTTCCCACAATAGAACACCAGCAGTACAGGAAGAATAAACCAAAAACTGGTTCTCAAAAAGGTGGGAAAGGATGGGCTGCAAAGAATGGAATAAAAGAAAAAGTGAGAGTCCTTAGAGTATACATTTCATAAAAATCTAACTTTTGAAAGTATGTCAATGTTCTATATGCAAAACATAAAATCTATAGATCACTTTTGGTAGTATAGACATTTTAACAATATTCATTCTTCTAGTCCACACATGAAACTTCCATTTATTTGTGCTCTCTTCAATTTCTCCCATCAATGTTTTATAGTTTCCAGTGTAGAGATATTTTGTCTCCTTGGTTAAATTTATTCCTCGGTATTTTACTTTTATAGCTATTACAGATAAAAATATTTTGTTGATTTCTTTTTCAAATAGTTTGCTTTAGGTGTATAGGAACACTATTGAGTATTGCATGTTGATTTTGTATTCAAATTTATGGAATTTTTTAAATTGGCTCTAACAGTTTTGTGGTAGACTCTTAAAGTTTTCTATATAAAGGATCATGTCATTCACAACTTGGGACTGTTAGGGTTCAGATCAGCAACCCCCAATGCAGCAGGGCCTCACAGTTTTGCAGGCCCCCTGAGAACACAGGAACTGAGTTAATGAGCAGCGCCCTGACCATCCAAAGACAAGATAAACTGACTCTTTACACCTTTTGACCAGAGACCAGATTACTGCAAGGAGCAGCTTCAGCACAGCATGCTCCCTTTTTGATGATCTTAAAGGATAAAGAGACTTTTTACACCTTTACACCTTTTGACCCAGATCCTGGCTGATGGAAGAGGACTGAAGGGGGCAGTTTGACTGAGGCTATTCTCTCCTGATAAGCCCTGGGCTCCCTGCCCCCCACCCCAACTTTTTTTAACAAATATTTTCCTGGCTTCCACATCTCCCCAAGGCCCCTATAAAGACCCCCAGCCAACAACCTGTGGACCAACAGCTCCTCTATCCAGATAGGGGAATTGTCCCGTGCATTTTCCTCTGCTAATAAACTCTATCCCACTGGAGTTTTTGTCTGTGTCCTGGTGCTTTCTCCCAATTTGACTTTACTATCAGGGACAATTTGACTTCCTCCTTTGCAATTTAGATGTCTTTTTTATTATTATGAACTTGTCTAGGTAATTTCATACTCCCAGTACTGTGTCGAATAGATGTGGCAAAGGGTATCTTTATATTGTTCCAGGCCTTAGAAGAAATGTTTTTAATTTTTCCCTATTCTGTGTGTTAGCTGTACTTTATAGTATTGGGCCTTCATTATATTCAGATACAGTCCCTCTATGCCTAATTTCTTGAGAGGTTTTATCATGAATGAATGGTGAATTCTAAAGTAAAGAGTATAATGGTGATTTTATCAGAGTTTGGGGAGCATGAGGAGATAGTTGTTAAAGAATACACAATTATAGCTTTAAAAGGGTGGAATATATTTCAAGAGATCTATTGTAACTATGTCTGTCTCTGTCTCTGTCTCAGTCCCTCTATGCCTAATTTCTTGAGAGGTTTTATCATGAATGAATGGTGAATTCTAAAGTAAAGAGTATAATGGTGATTTTATCAGAGTTTGGGGAGCATGAGGAGATAGTTGTTAAAGAATACACAATTATAGCTTTAAAAGGGTGGAATATATTTCAAGAGATCTATTGTAACTATGTCTGTCTGTCTCTGTCTCTCTCTCTCTCTCTCACTTGGTACTAAAAGAGCCAAGTAAGGAGCTAGAACTTCATCCCTTCTGGTATAACGAGTATCACCCACATTCTGCCTATAGTATTCTACCTGTGCTGGATAGCTTTACTGTCAACTTGACACACCTGGGTTGAGGGAGCCTCAATTGGGGAATTTCCTCCATTGAACTGGCCGGTGGCCATGTCTGTGAGACATCTTGATTGCTGTGTGATGTGAGAGGCCCAGCCCACTGTGGGTGGTGCCACCCCTGGGCAGGTGGGCCTGTGTTGCATAAGAAAGCAGGCTGAGCCAGGGCCAAGGGAGCAAGTCAGTAAGCAGTGATCCTCCATGGCTCCTGCCTCCAGGTTCCTGCCCTGAGTTCCTACCTTGGGCTCTCTGATGAACTGTGACCCAGGAGATGTAAGATAAATAAACCCTTTCCTCCCCAAGTTGGTAGTGATCAGAGTGTTTTGTCACAGCAATGAAGAAACAAACTAGGACACTACCTATAGTATCTACAGACATCAAGATGGCCTGGATTTCCATCCACACTCAGCAGTAA